TAGAAATTTTCAACGATTCCATGGTTTCATTATGTCATGCATGCTATTTTTGTTAAATGCTTCTTGATAAGGGGGATTAATAGTGGAATACCTCACTGGTGCGCATGCACGTTGTTGTTTTGTAGAACCTTGTTTTGGGTCAGAGCGGATTATCGCAGGCTCTTGTTGGCGGTCGTATGGCTGTAGCAGAACATGTATCAGGCCCTCCAGCTAATATAACGTCTTTATGAGTTACATCACTCTCGTCATATTAACATGCCCATAACTATGAATATCCTCCATTTAAATTTCTGTTTATCTTGCGTTAATAATAGGGACATACTATTAAAATGTTCTACACAAAGCTTAGCCGTTGTCTTATAATCTAACAACAATAGGAGCATTTTAATAAAGCAAAAACTTGTGCAGGGAACTCATAAAAATAGTATGTAGAATACATTTCAGGAACCAACCAAGTATGTTTATGGCATACGTAATTTAAATTGTTGATGAATTATGAGATGAACCATGTATGTGATTATCGAAAAATAAAAAAAAATCTTATTAATAATATATTTTTATATTAATGATTATATTTTTATTAGAAAAAAAAAAAAATTATATATTTTTTAACGATTTTGTTTGGGGAGAAACCAAGCAGGGAGGAGGTGTAATGATCAGTTTGTAAATTCCATCACTTCATTAGTTTATTTAAATGGAATCATGGTCCTAAGTGTGTTTATATACTAGATATCAAGTAGTAGCATTATCAAATTCAGCTTTTCCTTTAGCTCGTTAGCGATATCTATTCTATCAGTCTAGTTACTTTCATGGATCTCATTTGATAACAGAATCCGTGAGCATTGTCTAACATTGAAGAGAAATTGACCTTAACTTATCAAGGCTTGCTTATAATACCCCATCATACCACAGCGGAAACGTTCAAATTGTGTGACACTATCAGAAACTAAGACGAATTGGTGTTTAGTTGGTCAATGTTCAAGTGCATTTCTGTAAGTACAGTAGTATCAGTAGTATTTCTTTAGTATCATTAGTAGTAATATTATTAGCAGTAAATTGCAGTAACTATGTGGTTTTAAAGTAGTCTAGCAGCAGTACAAGCGTGTAATCATTCCAGGAGTGAATACAAATAGATCTATTATAATTCACTCCTGATCATACCAATGTGGGTGACTGTCTTTACTGGCAGCAAGCAGCTTTGATGCTTTCTGCTTTTACTTTGCTTGAGGCAGAATTCTGCGGGTGTGAGCCATCAGTAAAAACGATCAAAGTACACATGAGGGCGCGCGCGTTGTAATCACTAATTACATAGAAACAGGTAGAAGTTGTTACTGGGAATCTCCATTTTTATGATCGCTTGGTAAATATCGTGTCAGCAATATTTGAATATAGATATGTGACGTAATACGACTTGTTTTTATTGCATCAATCCGTATTCATGTCAAATCTGATTCAGTATTCCTCGTGTATCGGTAGGGGAGATTGAATCTTTTGTACGTAGAGGACGACGATGACGACAATCACTGCTAAGCCGCGGCAGACAAGTCCGAGAATGAGTCCGATGTTGGCGCCATCATCCGGGGGTTTCGGCGAAACGTAAACAGTCACAAAGACCGAATTACTAGAAGTTACTTTGCCGACAGAGTTGCTGGCCGCGCATGCGTAGTCGCCCGCATCGAAATATGTGGCAGTCTTGATCACGTACTGATTGCTTTCTTTCTCACTTATCTCAGTTTCGTTGTGAAGCCATAAATAAGTTGGTTGCGGGTATCCGTCTACACTGCAGAGGAGCGATAGCTTGTTGCCAGGGATGATGGTCACATTACTTGGTCCGTCTTCACTGCTCACTGTAACCGCGTCGTTCAGGTACATAACGTTAAGCTTCACGGCGAGCGACCTTGAAGGATAGGAATCGTATATGTCCGCGTAACTACAGAGTAGTGTTTTATCGTGGTCAGTAACGGTAAACGTGCGTGTCAGCGTGCTCTGCGTCGTTACCGTGCCATCGTCCTCGCTGTCATGTGAAGTAACGGCTCCGTCGATAGCCTCCGTACCGGTAAAAGTTAATGGTTTCGGTGCATTAAAGTGATTACGTCACCGTAAATAAAAAAATAATAATAATTCCATATTTTCACAAAATATAAGTAATTCTGTTCACTTTTTATGGTTAAATTGCTGCATTATACTTATTATTT